TTTTAACATTGCCTCATGGAAACGCTGATGTTGAGCGAACTTTTTCTTATATGCTTGATTACAAAACAAAGAAAAAGAAATAAAATAATACCATCAACTTTGTCTGCACTACTTACAATTAAATTAGGCTTGGAATCAAAAAAACAGTGCTGTTTATCCTATAGTTTTAATGAGAATCATTTAAACAAATATAAAAAGAATTTATATAATGTAAATAAGGAAGAACAAGCTGAAGAAGAAGTAATTTCTGATTCTGACTGTGAATAAAATAAGCAAACGTAGGCATTTCCACGTTTCCGCTTCTTCTTTGTCCTCATTTTGTGTTTTTTTTTTTTCTATTAAGATTAAGATATTGGTGATAGTTTCTATTTTTTTATTAGTTCCTTATTCTAAACCAAAGACAGTTTTGTTTTTTTAGAGGTATACTTTTTAAGTTTTTACGAAAAAGTGCAAGTATATTATGTTACTGTTTGTATTTTTAGTAGGGTTTTTAGACAGTGTTTAAAAAAAGTAAATATGTAAAAAATATATTTGTTGTTTATTTTAAATTTTTAGACCGTAGCGGCATGTAGCGGAATTTTGCGATACGTGTGACGGATATTTTAAACTTCGCTCTGACAACACTGCTCCGAGGAGATATCTTCTACCGAAACAGCAGTCTGATCGGTGGTGGCACGCCAACTTGCTCAGCACCTAATGAAATTTAGTTTCATAATTTATAGTTTATAATAAAATAAATATTCGATTCCTACTTGGTATTTTGCTCAAGTTCGGGTTTCTGTCGCCATCCATTAACCTCCAAAATGTCTGTTCCCATGAGTTCAACTTTATTTGTTTGTGGCCAGTTTTATTTATATCCGTTTTCTTTTTGATTTTTTTGATAACTGCTTTACACCTATCGCTTTTCCACTCAACGCCTGCCATTCAGCTTGCAACTTCATCAATGCAGCCTCTTTTGCTGTTTTCATCGTGGGCACTTGCGATTTTTGAAGCACCACTTTATAATTTTCTAGTAACTCTACAAATTTCACCTGAGCGTTGTCTTCACAGGTCGTACTTTCTTCGTCGGAACTCATTGCGTTGCTTATTCTTCCACAATCACTTCATAACTACTACAAAAATTATACCTATTATATTCAACCATAAATACAAATATTCCTGTCTAGACTTGATAAAAAGTATAGCCAATGGTCTGAATCACCGAGCATTTACTACGAAGCAAAAGCAAATCATAATTCATTAGAAACGAAGTAAATGCTTTTTCTTCCATCTCTTGCTTCGAAGGGTTTGCTTTTGCTTTTACTGTTTACTTCAAGCAAATGCTCCACTGATTCTGATTAATCTGCATGTGTTTGAAATATTGGAATTCGGTGTAGTATTTCATTAACGAGGTTTATTGAGACCTTGCGGTGTTACCTTTCTAAAATTCAAGGGCTTAGACGGACTCAAATAGCTACTATGAAATACTACTCACTTCTATCGGACGAATAAATGAATTATTTAATGAGGATAAAAACATTGATTACAAATCAGCCGAACCCAATAACGTATGTCCTAAAAGTTCTGGTACAAAATTCATTGGCTTTAATTTTAACAAACACAAAATAATATCAAGTTGCCGTAGGAAGCAACAGTTTGTTTACTTACTTTACTGTCAGTTGACATTTAGTTATTTTGTAGTTTTCGCTTTAAGGCGGCTCCGACGCAGTGAGTTTCAAGCCATTTACAAGGGTTCAGCTGCTTTGAAACTGACACTCCATTTTTCAATATCATTGAATGAAATTCATAAAATATGTTCAGAACATAATTGCCCACTGGTACTACACGAGTACTTATTGAAAATTTATTTTTGCACAAGTTTATGATGGGTTGAAGTGCGCACTTTTTCTGTCCAACTTCGCGATTTTTTTAAAACGAACCTAGTGAAAACAATGAAAAAGTGGCTCGATAGCACCCTATGGGGTTTTGTTTTTAGCAATTGAAAATTTCATTCAAAAATATCAAAAAATAAAGCGTCAGTTTCGAAGTGTGCAAACCTCTACAAATCGTATTTATTTCATATAATATCGCGTAAGTAAGTCCTTCTGCAAATAGGTACTGATAATCGCGATCGCTGATACTCTTCGATTTTAAAGCCGTTTTACCCAGCGGATCTCGCAGGTGGGGCCAGAATGTGTGCATGTTGCATGCACACGTGTTCCCTCGCCAGAGTCCGTGTGGCGTTCCCCCTTTCCCCTGTATCCCCCAGAGCCCCACGGTACACCATGGGTGTTTAGGCCTTAGGCCTTCGTGGTAGTTGGAGTATAAAATAAAACTCAGTACGTGTTTATAAAAGTAAAAAATACAATGATCGTGTAGGTACCTTTGAAAGACTTTGCCAGTCTACATTTATAGTTTTTGAAAAGCCATTTTAGGATCAGATTTTTGAAAAGGTTTTGTAGATTGAGAGGAGTCATCTAAACCTTTTTTTTCAAATTTTGTACGTCCTGTATGTCACAGGAATCTCACATTGAATGTTCGCCCCTCGTTTTGGTAACAGAACCTTTTAGATCCACATGACTATTCATGCTACACATTACCTCAATAAAATATTTAACGCGGCCCGGAATGTTTAAAAATTGATAGAAGCGATCAGACGACCTGTATAAATAACTAACTCCATTGAGTTATATCTATCTGTTGATGAGACAATGCCCTTTTGTCCAAGTTCTATTTATATAAAAAAGGACTCTTTATACCGAAGTATTGTTAGAACGTAATATTGTACGCCCACTTATTATCCTTTCGAACGTATATTGTTTTAACACTTCAAGAGAAACTGGATGCTTACACAAGCTTTCCTGACCTGAAACGCCTTCATACCTAAGAAGAAAATGGGTTATTTCTTTACCTATTCTTGACGAGAAACGCTCTGTCTTGTTTAAATTCGTAGAGAATGTAGACATGTAAGCATACGAAATATTTCAAACACAATTTGCATGCGAGTTCAACCGTGTTTTACACGAAACCTTTCCTGTTCTACTGTACCAAAATAAACTTGATACCTAGCTAAAGTACACGTAATTGAGGTTTCGTATCAACGTAGTATCAAAATGCTTTGAGAAAATTGTCTTTTACAGAACTTTTGGTAAAATATTGTAACTGCTTATAATGGGTTGTCCAATAGGGACGCAGGAAAGTAAACGTCAATTTGACTTGGACGCCATCTTTGTTTTCTGTCACCGACATGTCATTTTGTTAGTTGAATGTTTACCATTGATCGCTATGGAGTCGTATTCGATTGAAGACCGCATTAAAGTTATTCAAGAGCACTACAAAAATGGTGCAAAAATAAAAAACACGTTTCGCGCGCTTCGTGAACATTTCGGTCGCAACAACCGCCCAAACGAAACAACCATCGGTCGTCTGGTGCGTAAATTCGAGGCAACAGGTTCTGTGGCATATCTGCCAGGCTCTGGCCGGCCGAGGAGCGTTCCCACACCGGAAAATATTGCTGTTGTGAAGGAGAGTGTGAGAGACGATCCGAAACAATCAACAACGCGTCGATCCCAAGAATTGGGCATTTCGAGAACCAGTTTGCTCCGCATTCTCCACAAGGATTTGAATGTACACGCCTACAAGATCCAATTGACGCAAGAGCTGCGTCGGGCCGACCATTTTTCGCGCCGAACGTTCTCAGATTGGCTCCTTGAACACCGCCAAATTGATGCCAATTTTTCATCAAAAAACATGTTCAGCGACGAAGCGCATTTCACTTTGAATGGGACGGTAAACAAGCAAAACTGCCGCATCTGGGCGAACGAAAATCCCCGTGAGTATCAAGAGCAGCCGATGCATCCTCAAAAAGTGACTGTGTGGTGTGCATTGTGGTCAAAAGGCATCATCGGACCTTACTTTTTCGAAAATGCGGCCGGGGACGCCGTTACCGTCAATTCTGACCGATATCACGTGATGATAGAGAACTTGAAGGAATGGATATGGACGATGTTTATTCCCAACAAGACGGTGCAACATGCCACACAACCAACGTCAATATCCATCGATTGCAGTCCTTCTTCGGTGATCGCGTGATTTCGCGCAGTGGAAATGAGCCATGGCCACCAAGATCGTGCTATTTGACTCCCTTGGACTTCTTTTTATGGGGATATTTGAAAAGCAAAGTCTACGTCAACAAACCAGCCACCCTCCAAGAACTCAAAAACAACATCATTGCCGAGAGAAATGCCATAGAACCGACCATGTTGCAAAATGTCATTGAAAATTTCGACCATCGCGTGGACGTCTGTAAATCCAGTCGTGGTGAACATTTGAGCGATATTATTTTTCATACATAAATGGTATAAACGAACCTTCAAAATAAAGTACCCAACTTGATTTGAATATCAATCTTTCTTGTTTTAATATGCGTTTACTTTCCTGCGTCCGTTTTGGACATATTTTCACATAGAAACTCAGGGTAGTTAAGATTTTGTGCTTTTTCACGTTCGAAGTAAATCGTATCTATTGGAGCCCTAAACAAGGTTGAATGAAGTAGTTTTGAGCATAAGTTTCATGAAAGACCATCTAGCAGAGAATACGCGAGGCTGGTCTCTATATCATGAGACTGATGTGTAGGGACAGTAATATTTTGTATGGAAAACTACTGCGTTACTGGAAAAGACAACAGTTTTACTAAAATTTTCCAATAAGTATAAAATTTTAGTTAAATTTTATGTTGTAGTTTGATTAACCCATAGTGTTATATTAACGAATCACTGTCATTTTTGTACAAATTGCTTACGGTTCGCCCAAAAAATAGATTACATTTCAGGGGACCGATTTTAGGCACACAAAAGTATTTCAGCCCAGGTATAAACTTTATCATACAAATGTTTTTGGATCACCCTTTATTGTACGGCTATACATGAATAAGACGTCCCCCTGACAGTAGACAGTAGACATTATCGGGAAACTAGTATTTTCTTGTCATCCGCTCCTCAACTGCAACCTGTAGTGACCATATGGTAATAGCCATTTTCGTTTGACGTGGTCATTTTTTAGAATAAATCAATACTTCTAATCTGTGATTTACAAGTCAATCCATCTGACTCTATTTTTCTGTTACAGATCAAAATGACGGTTACGAGTCGCGGCCTCTGTCGCTTCGTGATCTTTCTCTGCGGGTATGTCCTTTTTCTAGTCCTAGGTGCCTCCGTCTTCTCAGCAATAGAAGGGCCTGAAGAAATTGAAAAAGTACAAAGTCTACGCGAACTCCGCTCCAATTTCCTTAAGAACAACCCTTGCGTCACCGGTAAGTCAAATTGTAGCACAGACCAGACGAATTTTATTTATTTATAAACAACACAATAATTACAGGGCAATGTAATGTAATCTTTATTTATAGTGTGCATAGGGTCAACTAGGGAACAGTGGTTCAGAGGGTACTGTAGCTCATGTGCCATATTTGAAAAACAAAAATCACTATACATTGAAGTTGAGTCATTAATTTTCAGATAATGATTGTAGAAGGAAGATAAACCAAAATATGTGTGTAAAAATAAAAAAAAATTAAAAAAAAAAGTTTACCTTGTTTTATAAAGTATCCTCCCGACAAGTATTTCAGTGCGGACCTGTATTTGATCGTGAGGTCTTGGAGCACCGGCATGCCCTCCCCTGTGAGGTCTTAAGTCACCTGATTCACGAGCCCGTTGTACTACATTAACAAAGGCACGAGGGGTTGGTTGCACTCGATTGGGAAACCGATCCGCATAAACATGTGCCATTTTTGATTTCGTTTGAGCCACGCAACAGACACCACTATTCACTCACGCGTTACCGACTGACACTGACTGTATACGTATACAACTGAATAAAATAATTGTAAAAACATCGTTCCAAATTCTTTCGCTTTTTTGTTTCCGATGCGATGAACCGATAAGGCGGATTATATCCGTTGTTGCCAAACACGAGCACATATTATTATTGAGACAGGGCGGTACTCAAACTTCCAAAGGGCTATAACTTTGTTACTTTAATTTTACCAGAAAAATGGTAAAGGAAAAAAACATTTCTTTTGATCAGATCTACTCACTGTTAAAATAAATGACTCAACTTTGAAGTCACCCTGTATATTTCTGGCATCTGTGGATGGCGTTAGATACCCGATCGTGTCCGAACTACGAGGGTGGTCCCAGAAGTACCCGACCCAACGAAGAAAACACAAAAATTTTGTAAAGATGTATTTATTTTTCAACATAATCTCCTTTGAGCTCTATACACTTTTCCCAGCGATGTTCAATAAGTTCGATAACCCTTTTATAAAAAGAACTGTCTTGCTCCCCAAAATAGCCATTAACTGGCATCACTTCTTCATCGTTGGAAAATATTTGACCAGTGAGCCAGTTTTTCGAGTTTGGTAACAGAAAATAATCCGAGGGGGCTAAATCTGCTGAATAGGTTGCATGAGGTAGCAATTCAAACTTTAATTCGTTAATTTTGGCCATTGCAATAACGGATTTGTGAGCTAGTGCATTGTCTTGATGAATCAACACTTTCTTCTTAACCAAATGCGGCCGTTTTTTGCTTGATTTCATCGCTAAAACGTTGCAATAAGTTCGCATAATACTCGCCGTTGATAGTTTTACCTTTTTCAAGATAATCAATGAAAATTATCCCACGCGCATCCCAAAAAAACGACGCCATAACCTTGCCTGCAGATGAAACGGTCTTCGCCTTCTTTGGAACCGGTTGTCCCTTTTGAGTCCATTATTTTTTTGATTGTTCTTTTGTCTCGGGTGTGAAGTGATGGGCCCATATTTCATACTTGGTTATGAAACGACGCAAAAATTCTGCTTTGTTGTGAAACTTCGCTAAACACTCAATTGAAACATCTTCACGACACTGTTTTTGCTCGATTGTGAGCAATCGCGGAACCCATCTTCCACATAGCTTTCTCATGTCCAAATTTTCAGATAATATGCGATGAACCGCACTCTTTGAAATGCCTACTATGTCTGCTAGCTCGCGCACTTTCAGTCGACGATCATTCAGTACCGCTTTGTGAATTTTCTTCACCATTTCTGGAGTCGTCAGCTCATTTGGTCGACCACTGCGATGCTCGTCTTGGCAGCTCATACGGCCTCGTTTAAACTCTGCTACCCAACATTTTACTGTTGTAAACGAAGGAGAAGACTCACCCAGAGTAGATTCCAGTTCAGCTTTTATATTGGTTGGGCTGAGGCATTTGAAATAAAAGTATTGTACCACATAACGAATACTAAAGAAATTTGCTGAAATCACTAAAAAAACTACAGTTGATTTTTGTTACTCTTCGTATTTCCATCTCAAAGGATTTATCAGCTAAGAACTAGTGTTGTACACGCGTTAAGGAACACCTCATTACAGATTTTTGGGTGGCGGTACAAGTCCACGGTCACTTTAGGTCTATTTAACATCATTAACAAGCATAAAGGAGGTAGTAGATGAGGACCAGTCGACCGAGGTGGTACCATGCGCTAGCCTTTTCCAGGGTGTCTTAAGGATGTCCGCATGTTTCCACACCCAAGCTACGCAGTGGGTTATCTTCCGCATCACAGAACTCAATGATTACTAAGAATTCTGTACTCACTCCACTCTCGGAAAGTTCGGGTGGAGAGTAGAGTCGAGGGAACAACGTCGATGGTTAAATTTGTTTTAGAACATCTGCGGGATTAACAGCAACATTGATACCGTTCATCACTACCTGTAATCCAATCGCCCCTCGATGCTTTTCTTGACAGAGACAAAAATCTCAGAGTCTGCACCGATTAGCCATCGTAACTTCCCAAATTACGAGGTGCACTCCAATCTGAGAAAGAACGGATGAGTTGTGGCTTTTGTCCGCAGCAGCTTTTCCTGCCTCAGAGACGTTTCTTTGAAATCTGTCTGGAAGAACATTTTTCGCCGCGACTCCAACACATCCCCCAAATGTATCTGCTGCCTTTATCGCTCTCCATCGAACCATAATTGGGATGAACTACTTGAATATCTCGCTGTCAAGATCGACTTCCTGAACATCAACCACTCCCCTTTAGGGGTAGTTCTCCTCGATGATTTCAATGACCATAATAAGCTTCAACGGCCACATGCTTATGGATTAGATAATTTGGGGAGAGGAGTCACCATTGCTGTCTTCCAAAGGTCAGGGAAGTATCCGGGTTCCAAGCAAATATACTAAGTGACATATAAATCCGAACACCCAGTTTAAATGGTTTTATTTTAATAAAAGTTGGTGAATGTATTTATCTTACTGTAAGTAACAAGTGAAAAAATTTTCAGTTGGACATTCCAGTTTTGATACTGCTTTTTTTTAATTCACTAACGCTCTAAAAATGAATATTTCAGCCGCAGTAAAGAATCAACGTTGGCGGATTTTGGTTCTTGACATCCTTTACGATCGGTTACGATGCCTAGAGTACGGAGACCTGTACGATTTCGTCAACTTAGTGAGTTTGATAGGGGCCGTATAGTGGGACTTTGGGAAGCTGGACTTTCTTTTCGGGCAATTGCAGTTAGAGTGCAAAGAAGTGTAGACACTGTGGTTAGGTGTTGCCAGGCATGGCTTCGAGAAGGCCGTACGCAAAGAGCAAGGGGCACTGGACGCCGCCGTAGAACAACAGACCGTGAAGATCGCCGCCTAAGATTATTGGCCTTAAGGGACCGTTTCTCCACTACCAGGTCCATTGCAAATGAATGGTTTGCAGAACACGGAAGACCTATTGGCATGCGAAGTGTTTACCAACGAATGAGAAGTTTTGGCTTGTTTTCATACCGGCCACACTGGGTCCTCCCTTTAACTCGAGAACGCCGGCGTAATCGCCTTGAGTGGTGCAGACAACGGTCACTCTGGGATCAGGAATGGAACAGTATTGTCTTTAGTGACGAATCTCGATTTTGTTTAGGCATGCACGATGGTCGTGCCAGGGATAGAAGGCGACGTGGTGAAAGGAGGAATCCACAGTTTTTTGTTGAAAGACATGTTCATCACACTGTTGGAGTTATGGTTTGGGGTGCTATAACTTATGGTTCCAGGTCACCTTTAATCTTCATCAGAGGTAACATGAACGCGCAGCGTTATATCCACGAAGTTCTAGAACCCGATCTTTTACCCTATCTTGAAACCCTAGCAGATCCAACTTTCCAACAAGATAATGCCCGACCACATGTTGCAAGAGTCACAATAGACTTCTTTTAACGTAATGATGTCACATTGTTGCCATGGCCACCAAGATCTCCCGACTTATCCCCAATTGAGCACGTGTGGGATATGATGGGTAGGAGATTGCTCAATTTGCAACGTCCTCCTCAGACTCTAGAAGCACTTCGAGAGGAGTGTGGTTGCCTGGAATGAGATACCACAGGAGGACATTGATCACCTGATCGCAAGCATGCCTAGGCGCGTTGGAGAATGCGTAGCACATCAGGGTGAATCCACACATTATTAAAGGTCAAAGGGCTTTAAAGTAGTGCAATCATTTTGAAATTTTTATCATTTACTTATCATGCTTCATTAAGTACTTATACAAAATTTTATTAAAATAAAACCATTTAAACTGGGTGTTCGGATTTATATGTCACTTAGTATATTAACATGTAGAGGATAAATGCCAATTACTAGAGAGCATAGCTTTAACATTTGTAACGTGATACGAGTACCATCCGTTCCGGAAGCATTAGATTTCATATTGCAGATAACAGTTTTAATCACATCTAAACCAACTAACTTAGAAGAAAAATAATTTTTTGCAAATAGTTATTTGAGGAATTTTCGTGATTTTGTAAATACTCCAAAAAGGAAGACTTTTCATTCCGTAATGACTGTAATGCATAATTTCTCGAAGACTTGGAATTATTTCAGTTCTGAACAGACGGCTTTAAGTTTAGACAGTGCCCTATCTCTTCTTTTGGAAATTAGGTTCAAAATAGAATAAGACGTACTGTTCTAATTGGACAGAAAATCTAAGTAAATTTCACCGGGTCGACAATACGTCATATTTTTGCTCGTGAAAGTTTTCGAGTTTTTCAATAGGAAACCCGATTTAAAAACATGGAGATAGACTCTGGAGGTCAAAGTAATGATCCCCCAGGATCCCCGATGAGGAATGTACCCAGCCAGAAGGAGAGAACAGAAATTACCAAGAAATCAAAGGAATTGATGACATCAGCTGTAGCAGACGAAAAGGACGGAACCATCCAGCGCCAGACCCTGATCATCGAAACCCAGGCCCGGCAAATAAAGGAGCTGACTGAGACCATGAAATCAAAGGAATTGAT